CTGATTCACAGACCAACTTCGCCAAATTTTGCTGTAACGTTCAACAAGCGCAACAAGGCTCCTTAATTTGCACTGGTAACATCACCGTCAGCGATCTTCAGCGTGCTTAAGGAAAACCTGGACATGTCTAGTTCTCGCAGTTGATACCCTACAAACCCTTCTGCTGAGTGAACTGTGCTATTGAGAAGCTCCCCAAAAAATCGTTCACATGCTTTCTGCAAACTGCACCCCCAAAAAACAAAAACACCTCTCTCTCCGCGTCATCGACCGACCGCACATGGCCGCGCGTGGCAAGCCCAGCATCTGGTGGCACCGTCCGACGCTGCTTGTAGTGCAGCTCCAGCTCCACTTCACGCAACGTCTTCCGGATCATGGCCTCGGCGGTCGAGACGTGGGCCACCTGTCCAGGGCCAATGGTCACCTGCAGCAGTGGCCAGGCGTGCGAAACGGTCTGTCTCACGATGCATGAGAATCACACGACGTATGTCTTACCCATTGTTGCTTTCACCCAATGTCACGCGCCCACCTTGAAAGGTGCTCCGAGGGTCTCTGGAGCCATCAACCTGAGGTCAACGGACCAACGGGGGGACTCAAAACGGCGCAATCGGTGCGATCAGCAGAGCCCTTTCCTGGCAATCCCACTTCTGGTTTTGATCCAATTCCTTTCTCAAGAATGGTTTTGATTTGTAGACATCCCACTTCTGTTCCACCACCCGTCTTTCCAAGACAGTTCTTTGTTGCGGTCCAGATGCTTGATAGGCAAGCCCGCAATCTTGTGCTTGAAGTCTTTCATTGCTTCGTCCATTGCATAAAAGGCACTCCTCGAAGTAGCTGCAAAGCTTAGATTCACTTCAAGCGGCAGCATGTAGGAGCAGCAAAAGTTGACAACAGCGACAAAAGCGCAAGTGCATCTAAGAAACGAATGGTAGGTATGCAACTCAAGGGTCCTCCTCGGTGGTATCGGAAGGCCATCAACAGTAGGTCTCGTTGGAGACACGAAGAATATGGTCTTGCCCCTGGTCTATGAAACTCGAAAGACCCCCGCTGGCCAGTGAGATGGGATAGACACCCCCTGTGGCCGAACAAATTCTGGTCGAGCCGCGAGATGTTGGGTCCAGAAGTTAGCCCGCAGTACTTTTGAATGGCATCTCTGGCTTTTTGAGTTGCCTGCAAAGCTGACTCAACCGAGCGAGTCCCTCAAGTGTCACCCCAAATTGGCCTGGATGCTAACCTTGCACAATCTGATAGAGGTTCGTAAAACATCGTAAAACGATCTATTTTGGAAAGCAGCATTCGATGGTTTAAGATGGGTTGGGATTATTTATATTATTTGGGACTTGCATGGATTTGCTCATATTTGCTCCCTTTTCCGGCATCCACTGATTGGATGTTCATAGGAATCCAATGTCAAGTTTCGAATGCTTCACACTCATGGTCGATCCTGTTTTTCCCTGCCTCTGGGCTTCCTGAAAACAGGACGAGACTGTAGCCCAAATTCCTGCAGGCAAATGTGAGTCACCTAGAACCAGCACGACATCTCTCCAAACCTCCAAGGTCAAAAGCAAATATGTGAATAGTTTTTGGGGTGCTTTCTTGGCACAGCTGAAGTTCCACGTTTGGCGCTCCCGAGCAATTTGATGCGTGTCCGGTCTGTCCTGGTATCTTGCCGAACGATGATGCTTGCTCCAGATTGATCAGAAATCTGCTTTACAAGCACATCGGTAAGCATCGGCACCAACGATTGTGGTACCTGAACAGTCTTGATTACCGTAAACAAGGCTTCATGGCAAGCCATGGCAAATCTGAAGAAATCGAAAAAATAGCTCTAATGTTGACTGTTAATAAGTGCAAAAGAAAAAACAACAACCAGGGTGAAGACATCTCCAAAAGTGTTTCTGCCTTTAAATCAATCATCTTCCGATCTCTCATGACCGACGAAATCGACTCGAAATCGACAAGATACGCCTCCAGAGGCTTGGCGACTCCCTGAGGGAGGCTAGCGCCTCCCAAATAACCTTGGTCTTTCCGAACAAAAAAATAATCCCCTTGGTTTGTTTGTGAACGAACCAAACACTTGCTATCTTAATAATAACCTTGCAAAATGGTTTGTTTGTGCCGGTCTTCCCTGACAACTACCAGGGTGGTGTTCCACGAAAGAGGTCGGTTGTCCGAACCTCAAATTCAGTTTGGTGTCCGTTTCTCCGCTGAAGCGAGCTTCTCACGCCAGGGTGCCTGATGGGTTGGGCACCAAATCCGCCAACCAGTCAGGGACATGGCCTTCCGCGGACAGACCGAGAGGCAGACATCGGAGTAGTCGGAGATAGAAATCCATTGTCTTTTCTGTGAACTCTGCAGACATCTGCAGACTAAGGCGTCGGTAAAAAAAAAGGACCGGCTTTTCTGTTGGCTCGATCTTTCTTAGATGCATTCGGGCGCCCGAAATCGGGCTGCAGGCCAAAGAAAACCAATCCTGTAAAGCGGCACCATGGATTTGCTGATCTCAGACATGGCACTAGGTGGCGGCGCCGGCGGCACTGGAGGAACCAAGGCCGGCAAAGTGACAATAGATCTTGTGTCTCGGGATCTACTGCGATCCCTTTGCCTAGGCGGTACAAGTCTCGTGTCTCAGCCACTCGTAGTTTTGATGCCAAATGCTATTATACTACTATACAATATGATTTGACATCACAATAGTCAATAGATGTCAATACTATCACATAGTATCTATATCTATAGAAGTCTATAGATCCTTGACAGAATGTTGCTGCATAAGACACCTGTTTCTTTGCAGGTGGGAGAGACTTCCTGAACTGCAGTCATTTTGGGGCACTCAAGCTTGATTTAGACGGCCAAGCAACATTGATTAGGCGGCGACCATGTAGTGCAAACACATAGCTGCACGATGGAGCAAGAGGCTGAAGGTGCTTCCTGACTCCTGACTGTTCCTGTCCAAGGGTTTTGGCTATGCTACGTGCTTCTATTGCTCTGGCCCAGCATTCATGGTCTTCTTGGTTCCCGACGTGCACTATCTCGTACGTACCAGGAGTCCACAGTAGTTTTACAAGCTCTCGACGGGTCAGTCATGTTGGCTGTGAAAAAGACTTTAAAAAGTCCTCAAAGCATCTCAAAGCTAGTAATCACCAGCTCCCATCACACTGATGGAAATTTTGGATTAGGTAGTACCTTGTCCGTTCTCTGCAGTATGCAAACATCTTCACAACAGGTCAAGGATGACCTGTCTTTGCAATACTTTCGACTCTAATTCACTATCAGCTGAGGTGTCGGTTGCGGCGATTTTAGGATGCAGCAAACGTCATCGAGCATATTTCAGACGTGCTACAGCAGTCGTGTTTTATCGTTGTTTCACTATGTATCAGCAATTTGACAGAAAGACCCTGCGTTAGGAGCAGTATAAGTCTCTGGCATTCCACTGGGAGCTCCGGCCGAGCCTCGAAATCAGCTTCACCCGAGCACAATCAGGTGGAAAAAAAGTATGCAGAACACGAAGGCGTCAAATTGTGATATTCATGGCCTCCACCCTAATAATCCTAATAGAGATGGCCTCCACCCTAATAGCGATGGCCTCCACCCTAATAGCAGCAAAATCGTCGCCTGAGCCACTTTGGCCTTCAAGTCTGAAATCTTCTCTTCTGGATTCGCCTCGACCTGCAAGGAAAGGAAGGGTGAGCATAGTCGAGTCAAGACCAACCCTTTTCATCGGCATAGATAGGGCGTTTCAAGTTGTGATCACCCCTCCTTCCCTTTTCAAGTCTCTTCACCCCTATAGACCAGTTGCACACCCATGGTTCTTTCACGAAAGTTCAAGCCTGGAACTTGTCTCCACTCAACCTGCTCAGATCAAGGACAAGGCGTATTCTTTGATATAACTCTCTCTCTCTCTCTCTCCGCCAAGATCAACTGAGAGAGCTGCAGCTTGAGCGTTACTTGGATGCTCATGCCGCGTATCCTGGGATTCAGAACGGTGTTGTGGCATAGTTTCAGAAATCTGAACACCAATGACCAGTCCCAGTGGATTCCGCTTCCAGCGTCACGTTCGTGCACGTTGAAATGAACGATGCCACGTCCTGTTCCTTAAGCGACTTGAGTCCTCCTTTCCCGTCCTGGTCAATTGGGGTGTTGATGTTCCCCCCCAGCGAAATCCTATGGCTCTAGTCATCCCCTTTTCATCCGTCAAGCGTCGCCCACTCACGCGTGGAGCAGAGCTAAGGCGAGACAGGGCGATGCTTCTCAACGCTGGAGTCGAGCCAACGGCGTCGGTATACGGCACTGGGAGGTTCACTTCACGGCATCGTGAGTCGATCCGATCCTTCCCCAAGCTAATGATCCTTCATGCGAGAAGCAGAACATCCAGGACTATCCTGTCCACATCTCAAGACCTCATCTTCACTGGAAGATGAGGTCTTGATTGTAGATGACACACGAGTGTTTCATGGCAAAACACGCGCAATGGCCAAACACCTCGTAGTGCTATGGCTGTAGGCAAGTCCAGAAGCGTAGAAGCCAGGCCTGCACTTCATCTCGTGGTCCTGCGTTTTGCTCTTGGGACTGACAGACTTAGTAATCGTAAGCAAAGCTGATTGGTCTGTATGGCTGCTATGAAGGTCCTGCGGGCAGCCAATCTCACTGCAATTCATGAAGATGTGGATGGCACACCGCGGTACCGAACTAAACAGAAATGACTTCAAACGAAATCGGGTTGTCCCGTTGATTGCCCATAGTGGCAGCAGGTTTTGGATGTGCTTTGTCTTGACTTAAATCCAGAGTTGCTGTCGGCCGAGACCCAATCCAAGAAAACGAGCCAAAAGGAATTCAATGATCGGCTGCGCAGCTTGCTAAAACGGTGCTAGCCAAAACAAACGTATCATATCGTATCGTATGAGTATTTTTGAGTGAACATCTCAAATCGATACATCTTGGGCCCTGTCGTTGACAAACCATCGAAATGCCCAATCGAAACGTTTGCCCCCTTGGCTCCCCGCAAGACGTACCTTGTCTCCGCAGCAACAGAGACGTCGTCACTTGGACGGATGCGAGAAAAAAAGAACATGTGAAATCATGAAGATGAGTGCAAGATAGTGCAAGCCAAGCATCTTGTCAAAGTCGGTCCTGCCAGAATGTGCTTCAGCTCAAGTCAGCGTAAAATTGAATGAGGTCATCTTGTATGTGTCTGTCGTCTGAAGGCCCTCTTCCTGTATACAATACGCTCATTCTCTCGCCGCATAGGGTCGGCTCGCCAGTCTTTGAACCTTGCAAAGAAGGCCGACCAAACGTGCGCCAATCATGGTGACAAAGGAAAGCAGCATCTGCAAGGTCTGACATGGTGCGTCGGGGGATCATGGCGCCTTTAAACTTTCGGCGAACATAGACACGGTGTGATCGTATTATATCGTACTTCTAGAAAATTATACGTACCAGTACGGTAACGATGTGCTTGCTTTTTGGGGGGAGGCAGGCATATTATAAAGAAGCCACAAACACGGCGAACCCACAACTAAATACCGAGACTGAGTTTTCAGTCGCTACCTTCGAACAATGAACATTTCGAAGGAGGGGTTGACAGTCTCAGTCTGTCTGAAGGAAAGCCAAAAGATTGCAAACGATTATGATCTGATTAAAAATGATTAAAACACAGAAGTCCGTCGACCAGTTGTCTAAGGCAAGTAGCCACACACATTGGCGCAGCTATGGCGAAAAACGACGGCTGATGCAGGCTGAGCTAGAACATCGGCCAAAATGAGCTAAGTATTGCTAGTTCTTCTGTTTCAACGAGTTTGGCGACCTTCCAAACGACCTTCCAAAACGGCTTCGTCACAACAACTGCTTGATTCCTCACCAAAGATGGAACATTTGTTAAGTATCCCGCTGCAGGCAACTTTGTGGCTGGAATGCCCTGACTAGCGCCTTCATGAAGGAACGACACTTCTCAACACTCTTGACTTGAGCGAGAACGGCAAGAATGAGGTGGGCTCAGCAGCTTGTGCCAAACAGGAACTCCCCTTCAACCGATCGCGAGGAATCCTCCTTTTGCTCACCGGTTTTCACAACAGGTTTCCGTGCTTTGGCAACAGGTAGGTCTGAAAGCAGCATCAAACTAAATACTAGCTAATGGAACAGATCATTCACTCAATGGCTTTAGGCCTTTCAAACCGTCTGCGCAAAGCAGGAAGCCACCCATCTGCTCTTCCCGTTTCCCACAGCTTCTCCACACGCTGACATCCAAGAGCCAAGTTCAACATCAGCCGGGAAAAGCAAATGGGTTAGATGATATTAGTTGCTTTCGATCTATCCGTCTTGGACAGGATCGACAGGCATGCGTGGCCCGTCCATTATCTCGGCTCAAACACCGGGTGAGATTGGTCCGGAGAACCTCCGAGACAAGGAGCAAGCACACGGCGTGCTCTCACTGACATTGAGAAATAGCATGAAATAGCTTGAAGGTCGAGTCTAAGCATGCGAGAGCTACAGTCATGTTGCACATGGCTGACTGATTGATTTCATCACCTACTCGTTGACTGGGCCACCAAAACAAGACCACGGGCCGACTCACTGGCCGAGGGTTTTCCCCACGCGCTTTTTTGGTGCCGAGTACCAAGTGCCACACGAGGTGACTCCCTGCCACACCCTGCCACACGAGGTGACTCTGTGCGACTCTGATGGGATCTAGTCGATGATGTCTGCAAAGGTGACAGCTTGCACCACTTCCTCCGACGATCGACTGCTGCGCCGTCCGAACGAAGTAGCGAACGGACGACACGTCCGGGCGATCGTGGGTGACGCGATCATGTCGGGCCAGTGGCGTAAGTTCTTCGTGGCAATTGGATTGAGCGTGTTCGTAATCCGCAGTTGAAGTTGATGACCTCAGCATTGAAAGAGAATTTCAAGCGTCTTGATAGCATCAAGACATTGAATGCACACACGCAGAAGCAAATACAACACTTTCAAACGAGAAGGGGCCAGAAGGGGGTCCCTGCAGCTGAAGCACTTCAGGCAAAGTCGCATCTGCCACAACCATCACCTACCACACACGCCGCCCCCCTCGACCCCATTCGAAGCGCCATGACGTGCCTCTTTTGGGAAAGCCGCGATGGGTGGAACAGCTCCGGGCAAACAGCCTGTGACTTCGATCACCTCCTCAGGTCCCACGTCGTCTCCCAGAAAGTCCGTCTTTACAGTCTAGTGAGACGGGCACAGAAAATCGTGTCGGGAGTGAGAGTCAATTCTTAGTCCTCCATTCATTCCATGATGTGGGTATAGAACTTTGCCCATGCACCAGTGGCCTATGCCTATATAATTGCGCAATATTGCGCAGTGGTCAAACATTAGCTCGCCACCAATTCTGCTCAAGGTGCTTCCTCGGTTGCGATCCGTGTGCCCTTGCCGTAGATAGCACGAAGCTTCTTCCAGCTCAACTTGCAATCAGCTGGGAGCACTGATAAAAGCCATTCGCTCTTCGGTGTCCTGTCAGTGTCATGTGTTTCAAGGCCTCATCTCAAAGGTGTGTTGCTGTGCAATATATATATATATATATAAATGAAGAAGTCATCATGTTTGAACGAATGGGCGTAGGACATCATCCGATCATCAGTCATAAGAAAAATAAGCAAGAGAAAAAAAACATGTGCGCACCACGTAGATGGCATGCCCCTAAGAAATGCTCCAACTCTGGCTTGCTGGCTGGCAATGCTGTTCCGTTTGAAACCAATTCCCGCTCCTCAGCAGCATTGCCTTGGCGCCACTATGCAGTGTGACATCCTGGCAGGATCTTACGACTTGATTGTAGGAATGATGTTCAGTGAATTTATCGAAGCCTATAAATTTGGTGCTTGTGGAAAAACAACACGGGTACTACAAATTACCCTTAAAGTTATTACTACAGGAACAGGATGCAACAGGTGATAGTAAGAGATACAGTAGTATACCAGTATTTCTGTCATGCTTTTTCGAGTGCGGTTGGAACTTCCACCAGCGCATCCTCCGATTTCCAACGAGTCTCCAGCCACTCAGTCCATTCAGTCCTTCCAGCCACCAGCGAGTCTCACCTGCACGGCATCCTCGGAGGTGCGGCAGGGCCCATGCTGCATGGAGAGAAACTCCATACCTTTCAGCAAAGCGAGCAACCTGGCTGATGAGTGGACTAGGCCACAAATGACTGAGTCCAGTTTTGCTCTTTCTGCAGACGATTTCCGATATCTGATCGCGGTGAAGCAAGTCCGTTTAGATGAGACGAGATCAAGAGTTCAAGCGCATACTATTATATACTATTTGGCTCAAAAGCGAATGCTTATAATTATAAAGAACTTTGATGAACTTTGTACGTAGCTTAGAAGGCTTAGAAGAAGAAGCAGTGACCCATCCCCACCTCTCATAAGTTCCAGGTCCTGGTGCTTCCAGTTCGGCTGCTTCGTAGCCAGTCCACCTCTCTGTCTTTCCGTTTCCGTCCATGTTCAGAGCCACCGATGGAGCGAGGTACCGCCGCAACGCTTGGCGAAGTTCCTCGAATCCTCCCACGGAGCGAGCCGCCGCCGCCGAAGCCTCCTCGGCGTCCGCGGAGGCGACTCGGTCGCCGCGCTCGCTCGGTGCGCCGACAGCCATGGCTGGCTGCATCTCTTGGAGAAAGGCAGCAATGAAGTTCAGATCTGCGGCCTTTTGGGGAACAAAGTGACCTCCTGAAGCAGAAAGCGTTCGACTCTCAGGTGCAGCACCGATCGACCATCTATATCCAAATGGCGGTGGGCTGACCCCCCATGTACTAATTAGTACCCACGGTGAAGATCCAACCCCATGAATTCCACAACCCTGGCAGAACTTCAGCAAACTCGCTTGCTTTCCGTGCTTTTCAACAAAGCAAACTCGTTTCGGACGAAGGAACACGCATCGAACGAGTCGTCGCCGAGTCTCAAGATGCCAACCCGTCGACGTCTGATGCGGAAAGCACGTCGAACCGAAACGTGACGTCCTGGGTGAACATGAACGCGCGGCTCGTGAAAACGATCAGCCAGGAGTTGACTGGTCCAAGGGGGCATGTGTGCATCAGCTTCTCCCCAAATGTGCAGGCTTGGCACGGCAATTGGCTCTTCAAAGGCACCTCCGGACAAACCAAAAGCACAGCGAGATGACTGAACAATGCAAAACCTTGCGGCCACTCACTCCAAAAGCAAAGCAAGTCTTTTCTGAAACTCATTGAACTGATGGTAAAATGTTCAAGCCCATAAATGCTATTAAATGCTCACCTTGCAGACCTTGCGGTATGGGCTTTCCAAATCCTGAAATCAGGATAGCAAAGCGTGGTGGGCAACCGTTCCGCTGCAGTTTCGCACAAAGAGCTGCTGCGACAACCGCGCCCTGGGAGAATCCCAGCACTGCATCATAGCCTTTGGACCATTCCTGGCACATTTGGCTTCGCCCAAGAAGCAATCATTTGCGGAGTGGTTTCTTTCTGGGAATAACAAACTGTAATAATTTCACATAACGAATTGTTTGGAAACACGGTTCAAGGAAGCATGAACGTCCAGATTCCTCCATCACGAAGGCCAAACTTTCATCAAGACCCACTGGCTCAAAAGTGGCCCTTTGCAAGAGTACATCAGCCAGTGATTGAATTGTCTCCGCAGTGCCGTCCCAAAGCTCCTGGTTGTATAGCCACCTGGCAAAGGCTGTTCGACTCAACCTTCTGTACAATACATAATCCGTGGAAAACCTCTAATCGAGTCTTGTCTTTGCAAAAGTGTCTGCCGCATTCCAGTGTGGCCGGGGTGGGTTTGCAAATTACATAGAGAAAATCTGCTTTGGGCATTCACATCCGTGGTGGTCAGCGAATCGGCACGGCAAAACTATCACCACTGTCTAGAAGCGACACGGCTATCACTTTCAACCGCTATGATTGCATACTGCGTATCTTTCTCCGAGGACATGGTTTAGGATCTCAAGATCTTACCCCGCCCTACGTTAGAGTGCACACTGGTTGGAAAATACATAGCAACCCTTTCTTCATTGCTGAGCACAGTCATCCTTCCCTCTACAAGTAGTTGATGCCCCGTTCCCTCAGGGACAATGTTGGTCCCAAGCACATGCTTGTTCTCTTTTTGTGCTCGCAGTGGACCTCCTATCCCTATCGTATCCTAGCTAGTGATGCAGGATGTTGTCTCTCAAACAAGATTTTGACTGAAATTGAAAGGTGCGAGACGAGTAAGACCCACGAGTAGCCTACGCAACAAACTCAACAAACCTACGCGAAAGAAAAATCAAGTGCCCCCGTCTGAAACCTACTACGCACACTTCACATGAATTGCTTACGCGTTCAATGAGTTCCCTCCTGATCCTCATCTAAATTATTCATCTAAAGAAAAGAAAGCTGCTCTTAGTAAAACCTCAGAAAAGGCACCATCCTCGCAAAGACTCGTCATACGGCAGTACGAAGGGGGCATCAATCACAACGACGGATGCAATGGATTTCAGCTTTCGTAGCAGTGCTTTTAGCTTTTGTCCAAACAACTCTGCATTGGTCCCAAAGCCATGTAATGCAAGCACGCGGGCAACCATGTGATGAATCTGAGTGTTGTTTCGCGAAGGTTGGGCGTGTCTTTGTCCTCTCAGTGAATCCGGGTATTTGCTATGATGGTAGCTGCTTGGTAGCTGGGAAGTGCTGTGGCAATGCTAAATGTTATTAATAACTATTACAGTATATGTATGGGTTGGTATATGTATATCTATATAGAACTCAACTAAAAATAGTAATAGTAAATAGTAATAACAGTAATTATATATAACTATGATAACTGCATATATTATCATATATTATATTGTTTGATCAAACATCAGCGTGTGTTCCTTCACAATTGACTGCTTACATGCAATCTCGGACGTTGGTTTTTGTTGGCTCATTTGGTCCGTGGACTGAGGGCCCCAGCAGCTCAGCAGCTTGAGAGCTCAGCAGCTTGAGCCAAATACAATCGACAAAGGTCGGATGCGAACCCGCCAAGGGCAACAAGATGCAACAAGTAAGTCAGCGAACCACAAACAGCTGGACCAGCTGGACAGCGCAAGCGCTGGATGGCCTAGGCTGTCTCCACAACCTCTTCCACCTCATGGGCTGCCTCCTCCTCCACACCAGCTGCGGCTGCGGCTGCCGCTGCTGCTGCTGTGGCCTGCAGCGAGGATGCATGGCTCGCGTGAAGAGTTTGATTTTGGACAAGCTCAAGTTGATGTCTTTCTCAAGGAGCATGATCATCTCCAGATGTGCTCTGCATGTTCGAAACGACAGGAGTGGTTGCACATGGCCGCCCTACCACACAGCAATCCCACACGAAGTCTCACGCCATCCGTGAAGTCTCTCCCGAAGTCCTTCCGTTGGACCTATCGTCCAATGTGTCCACCGCCTCCTCGACCTCACGCACCAGGATCTTGACACTGATGCAGGGCGTGTATTTGGTCTCAGAGGTCTCCAGTTTCAGCTCGCCATCAAATCCGCCTAAGGCCGCTCCGCTCGGAGCACCGGTCACCGGGGAAACAACAGCGCTGGTTCGAAAAAGGCGTTTTAACGCCTGGACTTAGACCAAGTCCAACCATCCACATCATGGCTCCTAGATGGTCCTACTGACTATTGTCAAGTTTATCTTCTCATTCAAAGAAGAAAATCTCTCCAGTTGAAAGCCCTGCACACCTACAAATCTCGTACAGTGCTGTGCCCGCAGCCTGCCCTCCACCTTCCGGCCTGGCTTGTGAAACTGGCTGCCGTCAAGGACGCATTCACCCAGCAAATCATTGCCTCCAGCTTTGTCATAGTCCCAGACTTTGAAAGAGATGCTGTCCCCCACTTCCTTGCCCATGCAGGCTGCCAAAGGATGTGCGTGTGTGTGACTTTGTTGTTGCTGCCAAAAGACAACTTCTCTTTGGTGGGTTCAGGGTGTTTGAGGGCAACCTACGAAGGTGGAATCGCTTTATTGAATCCAGCCAAGACTCGTATCTGTGCTTGTCCGTCAGGGTTTCATTCCAAACAGGCTCCAGCGTCCGCGACTTGATCGTTGTCGTAGACCTTTCCAGGTTCCGGCCGGTGCCGTTCGATCCCGAACATTCCAGAAAAAGAGTCAAACGTTCCCACCCATCTGTTTCTAGGCATTAGAGTTTGTGATCAGAGGGATCCCCAAGGGTGTCTAAAAGGAAAGTAGATACTCGGGACTCAGGTGGTCTTCTGACTTCTTCTGGCCAAATTCTCGGAAATTGAACCCGGCTGCGCCTGGAATATGGCTTACCAACGAGCTGCATAGAGCAAAACGGATCTGATTTTCCGTTTGCATCTGCAGGTGGCAATCCTTCCGCATGACCTGGATAGTCACTTGGCAACCGAGTTCGCTTTAAGACAACTCATCCTTCTTAGAGGTCTGAGGTCAACAAACCGCAGCCGCAAAACACTATTCAATTCCAAAACAACATTGATTTATATACCTTTTTCAGATCCTGCAGTGAGTCGATTCGCCGACCCAAGCCCAAAAAAGCACCAAAGTGGTTTCTTGCCCGTCGGTTTCGCCTTTTACCTGACTCATGACTTGCTGGGGTTGGCGCTATGGCATACCTAATCTTTCAAGAAAACCAAGGCCGTGACGAATCAAGATGGTCATCCTTGGCGGCGGTTCCGGGAAGGCCATCACTTGAATTCGTACTCGCAGGGCCGGAGTGTAACCTTGCAGTGAAGCGAAAGTGCATCCCTACTAGTACCACTAGTAAGAAGGGCATTGCTACAAGCAACAAAAAGCTACTAGGGGCCCAGGGGCTCCTAGCATCGCTACTAGGAGCAAGGACGCTAGTAACAAGAAGCTACTAGGAACAAAAAGCTACTAGACCCGCTGAACATGCTCCGGGCACCCGAAAAGGTGGGCAGTTTAGGCGAACTCCATCACTGCGGTCAGACGTCTTCGAGACACCCGAGCAGGTGCGGCCGTCAGGACGTCTTCGACGGTCTTCGGTGATGAATGGCGTGTTTCAAAACCGGTCGACCCTGCCTTTGAGCTTCGCCAACTCTGGGGCCAAGGTCATTGGCCATGAACCGTCAAAGCCACCAGGTCTGTGGAACTCCTGAATTCTGAACCACTGGAAGAAGTGTGTGAACTTAGAAAGGCTTCAAATAGTTAAGGAGTGTATTACAATTGAGTGACCAAGCAATGTGCATGCTGTCAGCCTGCACATCCAACGCTCTTCACAGATCTCAACCGAACTATGATTACTATCTTCTGTGCGAAAGCAGGACTGACGCATCTGGCACAAAAGATCACAAAAGTGTCTGCATTGAACAAACTGCATGCACACGGATCCTTTTTTTTATCAGCCGCACACAGGATCCCGAAAAGACATAGATAAACTAACTATACATGACAAAACTTCACTCCCCTTTCTACAAGGGGCTGTGATCACTTCGGCAAAGGTTGCCCAAGTTCAAAAGTATAAAACCTTGACAAGTCTGTGTGCATTCACCTCACTTTTTGGAGGTGCAGACATGTGCAGACGGTCAGCTGAGCCCACGCCCACTCCGGTCAGCGTGGTTTGTGAAGAGCAAGTTGGGTCAGCAGGACAGCCAAGACTTCACACGAATAGGCGAATAGGCTCTCCTTGACAGACCGGTTGATACACAGAAACATGAAGAAAAAGATTGACATATGGACACGCAAACAAAAGCACTAGGATCATTAGGATTCTGGAGTTAAACAATGTTAAACACCAGCTGCTTGGCACATGGTCTTTCGCTCTTTGGAAAAGGACTCTGTTTGGCGGAACAAACACAACGCCACGACTTCCCCACCAGATCGATTCTTTGCAGAACAAGCATCCCATTCAACTTCGCTTCACGCCGCTCCGCCGCTCAGCGGGTGCCAATGGATGGCGCGAGCGCGGAGGCTTCTTTGTGGGTGTCTCTGGTGTGTCTGGGCCAGGATCATTGGATGTTGTTGAGCTGCATGTGGTGATTGATTGATAACAGCTCTGGCCTTCATCACAGTCCGAAGGCTGTTGCGACGGGCATTCCTTGTAACAGTTCTCAGCTGCATCAGTCCAGGTTGAGCCGCACCAATACGTCGTGACGCCATTGTAGCTTTCCTTCCACTGAATGTAGCCACCAAATGTGATGCTGTAGTTGGCTAGAAAGTAATCTTGCGCTACAGAGAAATTGTCGGCATAGGGGATGGACGGTACAAATGGTGCGATGGATTTTTCCCAAAGGTTCCACGTGCATGGTGGATCATCACTCTGGCAATTCGCCGTTGGTTCTAATTCCAGCGTGTCGCCACTGGTATAAAGCTGCGGGGATAGGATGTCAATATTTGGATCTGCAACCCAGGCGGAGACAAGATCCCCAGCGATGCAGTTGCTACATGCATTTGGTCCACTGTGGCTCGTGGTTACACCGACAGAGAAGTTGGCTGCCTTCAATGCTGCGGTTGTTTGCTGAAAGGCCGCAACAATGTCAGTATTTTGCACAATGCTCTCTGCATCAAAGATGATACCATCAAAACCAGCTTGTGAGATGCTAGCAGCTAAGCTGACTGTACCCATCAGGACTGACTCATCCATGGTCACAGTTCCTCCCCCGATGGACAGCCATTTGGTGCAAGGCACTGTGGATCCGCTGCAGATCTTCGACACCACGGGCAGGCAGTAGGTAAGACAATCTTCAGCAGTTTGATACCCGCCGAAACAGATTCCCATCGTTTGGTTCTTCGGTCCATATTGGTAGATGGACCATGAATAAGCCCAGTAGCCCACTGTTAGGTCGTCGCTGCCATCTGTTGGATCTTTTCTCTGCCTGGACTGTTTCTCTTGTAGCTGCACCAGTGCATGCTCCTCACACTCTCCACGTAAGCATGCTGCGAGCACCACTGGCAGGAACCAGACAAGCAGCACTTTGGCCTTATAAAGCTGCATACTGACTGCAACGAAATGGGCCAGTGCTGGATCAGCTGAAGCCAGATCAGTTGCAGCTGGAACAAATCATTGCCCATGACGGGGTGCCCGACAATCATCACAACCACAACAAACTGCAAACAAACTAGATAGATAGATAGATAGGATAGATTAGATTAGATTAGATTAGATAGATAGATAGATAATCCCTACATACTACCAAATACCACATTCAAGACCACTTGAACTCTATCTGTATCTGTTGTGCGCTGTATTCTCGACATGGTTGATGGTGGTCCTTGTTGGGAACAACACAGCTGCACATGAGATCCCCTTGCAGGGAACCCTTGTCATAGTCGACAACCTCAAAGAGGAGATCGTCTCCCTCCTGCAAACGATGATGGGTTATCACACTTTGTAGAAAGCCCGGCAAACTGAAAAGCAGCTTAAGCAGCGTGGACATGTGTTTAGACCTTGGACACGACAAAAGGGTCAATAGACACCCACCACATTCTGGCCTTCTATGCAGCCTTCTCACCTTCCCGTCCTGATAAGCATAGTTCCCAGTGAGCTCTTCACCCCACCTGAACACTGAGAACATCACCTGCCACCTGGGATGACCGATCCATCACCTGCCTGGGCTCCAAGGTCTTTTCAAGATGTCGCGTCCGGGTCTTGATGTGCGGTTTTCCTCGCAGTGTGAGGTGTGTGCGGTGTGTGCGGTGTGGAAATCCCAGGAATCAGGGATCAAGGGTCAAAACAGGGAGATGGCCTCCAACCTAATAGCAAACTATATTGGACCTTTCTTCCTTTTCTTTTGTATTTGTTTCTAATAGCGACGGCCTCCAACCTAAGAGGCCTCCAATCTAGTACTGTAGTCAAGTACAGAGTCAGTCCTGCCAGTTGCATGGTGCAATAGGGATCAGCTTTCCCATTCACATCTGCAGGCGGCAAGTTCTTCGCTCCGTACACGGTGACTCGTAAAGCTGGCGTCCTGTCCCGGTGATGTGAAAAACGCTCGTCTCAAGACTTGTGTGATGAGATGATCTCATGAGATCTGTATTCCTGGGCAGCAAACGTGGATACCGATGCATCAAGCGGTAGTAGAGCTGCTTGAATTCGTGGGGAGACAAAAAGTGAGAATCCTGAGCGAGCGAGCTCAAGCCGAGCGCATCGCGAGATACATCTCGAAAACAACTGTTTTACAAGAACAATCGTTTGGCATAATTTTGTTTGGCTTCTGCAGAGTGCGAGTCAAAGGCCAGTTTGGAGAAGGCTGCAAAGTCATCTCCCAGCTCCTGTCGACAAAAGGGATCTCTCCGCTCCATCCCGGCCCATCCCCATCAAGTCTGTGTTGAGCGCACCTTCTCCAATCCAACATCTCGCAGTACTTCCTGTGCCCCACGACAGGAGAGCGCTGTGGATTGATCAGTGGCCAATTCTCTTGAAGCAACAAATTCTGCACCTAGTGGTCAGTAGTAGACAGTGAGAACAGCTGTTGTTGCACAAAAGTTGTTGCACTTGTTCGTTTCTGTCGAACCACCCCCCTCCCCCAGTCGTTGGCATGGTTAAGCCACGTCGCTGTGAGACTCCCACGGGGGAGAAGAGATATGCCATCAAAGTCGTACCTGAGAAGGCTAACATGTTGAGTCACGGGGACCTGCGCCGTCCAGGCTTGCTCAACTGGTGAAGATGTTGTCAGGTTGCAGGGCAAAGAGGTTCTCTGCATCAGCTGCTGCTAAGTCTGAGATGACCACCTTGGAGCCCGGATGATGGTTTCAGTTTTGAGATCATTCTTTTGCCGGGGGTGGGGAGTGCTTTTGAGTTCCAGATGATTTATTCCTATCAGTCCCAGCTGGGTCTTGATCTTATTCCTATCCCTTCCAGATTTCTTAGTCTCGACTAACCGACCTGACCCACTGACTGAGTCTCTTTCAACCTTCGCATCTCCTTGGCATTGGCGAAAGAACATTCCCGGTCTTAAAGAAACAGGCCTATCAAAATGGAAGGCCATCACAAATACAGAATAATACATCTATGTATCTTTAAAATTTATATATATATAATATATGTTTTGTAGTTTTCTCACTTGTCTTTTCAAGATTTGGATAGATTTGGTGTCTATGTTCTATCATCGATGCGTCTAAAAATCCGAGGCACTTGGGACCTGGAAGTGGTCGCGACTTCAATGCGCTGCGCACAGTTCTGGGCCTTGATGGTCTTCCGAGCAGCCATGTGAGACAACGCGGATCGTCGCGTTGTCTAAGTCTTGAAGTGCTGTCGAGATCGGGTCTTTTTATGTCTTTTTCATAAGCATATATATTAACAATTGCTCTCTGTCAATCTGACTCATTTCATGAATCTATCATCAATATAGTTGTCATGAATGTGTTCAAATCAAAGCCAGCATAATCCAGCATGCATCCTATGGTCTACCAAGAGTTGTGAAGGTGGCATTTTCCAGACCCAGCCAGACCTATGTGGTTTTGAAGTTCTGTGAAGCAACACCATCTGGCAGCTACAGTATTAAGCTGAAGTCTGCAGGCAAAGCGATGCAGTAAGGTGCGTTCTAGGCGAACTTCGCACTTCTATTCAATCTCTTGGCATTGTCTCGTTCTCATCAAAAGGGACCAAAGCCTCTCAAGAAACAACGTAACAGTTGTTACATGTATTATAATTACCATCATTACAAAAACATGATCGGTCCTGTCGTGTCGATTTGCTGGTCCGCTGTTGTAATTGTTCGAAAAATGTCGTGCACCAGACATGGACATGGGAGGACCATTCAAAATGGCCAGAGATGCTACGTGGTGGTAAGTTGTTGAGCGGCGCCGATGAGAAATGGTGAAGCAAGTGGATGCTCAAAGAAACAAGGATGATAGGATTCGGTCTAGTCTCAGATTTGCTCAAAGTGTTGGAACAAGTTCATCTGAAAACGAAGCTGCAAACTGAGGCGAGTTTGGGAGAACACTGCTCCGGACTCAAGTGATTTGGCACATGTGCTTTTCATTCCAGTTTGGCACCCTAAGCCGTCCTTAGGGATAGTAGATAGAAAGGAATTACAGTACCACTGATGGGAAAACTTGCTCAAACTTCGCTTCATGGCATTGAGCTGCAAAGCAGCTGATGTCCCAAGTCTTCATGATGCTTCATGGTGTACTCAGTCATCATAGGGCTCGAAAGGCAGCCAGATCTTGTTGTGCCTTTTGTTGTTTCCCCATTCAAAGGAATGGTCAAGTAGACAAAGAAAGCCTTGGTAGTAACGACTGCTTCACACGCCACATGTCACCGCTGAACATTCAGCCCACCATGCGCTTGATGCAAGGTGCAACGGTCCGACGATACAATGCTGTACACTGAAAACTGGTGAACACCGATGGCCAGTGATGGCTAGATGCTATACTGCCCCGCCGCAGGCACAATCAATCAGGCGACCAAAATTGGTTATATAAATGATACCAAACCTATGTTGATTTGTTTGGATTTGCAGGTTTGCAGGTTGCAGCTGAGAATACCAGTCCAACTTCCAACCCATCAGCCTAGATTGGTCCTGCGGCAAAATAAACCATATATCGTGCAGGGGCCATGTGCGTCGCCCCGTGCGGTCGCTGACGATATCGGCCAACCTCGCAGCGCCGAGCCCGAGCGAGCGAACCACACACTCCCACCAAGCAGAAGCTAAGTGGCCAACTACGTGCCAGATGTCTTGAGCTGCCTGCGACTTGGTCAGCATTGGGTTTTTCGATTAGTCCAAGCCTAGCAGCATTCCTCAAAACCCAGAACTGTATGACATTGTACGAAAGTATGAACCTTTTGGACCACATGTCTTTTGATGATGTTCCTTTTCAGGATAAAATTCCTCGGTCCTGAATATCCTTTAGTAGAACGGTGGGTAAAGAGCCGGTGAACAGTGGCAAAATGATGCAAAAATGCCGCCAAGCTTCGCTTCCAGGGGAGTGAAACTCGCCATGATCGATCGGAAGAGCTCCTGGCTTGGTGTCTTGACATGACCGTCTTTGACTGGTCTGGAAACACATGTGAAGTGTTTGAGGTCGTTTCAATCAAAGATGAACGCAAAGACACAGTTGCTAATCAATCCACCAGGGTCCCAAAAATGCAAGTCCAATGTGGTTGCTTAGGAAGGTGATGATTTCCGACGCGCTGGTGGCGTTTTCAGCCAAGATCCATCGCTGGTGGCATGTTCAAACACCTAGGCCTCAGGACCTCATCTTCGACGCCCGGCCTGCCGATCCTCCCAGAGTAGGGCAGGTGTTCGTACATCTCAGTGTACGCACGCCGTACATCTCGGGTGGGTTCCCACGTGCGTACCCCGCATGCACTGCAGACTCGACCCCCAATGTAGTCTCCACGTAAGTTCACGTAAGAGCGTGGGTAGTACATGGTAGTAGTCTACAACACAAGAATTCAGATGCGTTTTGGGCATTCCTCTTCAGTCGGGACTGGTCGCTAGGGCGCGCACTCACACTGCACAAGTAGTTCTTGCCCTCAGCCTTTACCAAGGCATAGAGCTTCAACCTTGTTCCGTGCGTTCGACTTCTCGAGCAAATCACGTGAAGTCTGAACATCTCCTGGGCTCCCCTTGTCTTCGGGCCAGAGCCACAAGCAATTTTTACATAAAAATTGACTGACTGAGGAAGCTTCTCGTGGAGGAAATCGCTGACAAACTCAAACTGGTAGATATCCAAACCTGTCAGAACTTGTGCGTCGCACGAACGTGCGTCGTATCCTTGGAGCGTGCATCGTTTACGAGGTTGCGCAGCAGCGAGCGCCACACGGAAAAGTCAGAGCGAAACAGGTTTCGAAAGGTCGAGAACTGGCCTTTCTCAGCTGGATCCACCAGGGCCTGGGGAGGGAGAGTTGATGGATCAAATACTGAAGATATCCAGAAATGTTCAGAATATCTCCCAAATACCCGGTGATTCCAGGCTTTGGGTGTTTTGCAAGGCTTTCAGCGTCAAAGGAACAATCTGAGCCTCCACCAAGGTGGCTTCAACCGTGGTGTTGACACGGACTGGCCGACGCATTCAACAGTGCATGCCGGGCACAGTCGAAGTGCAGTTCTTGTTTCAACATAGAACCAGACTGACCTGAACATCCCAAATGCTGACCGACTGTCCCCCTCGCAAACAACTTCACTTCAGTCTTGCAAATGCTGCATTTGAATCTACAAGTGCCTTCAAGTCTTTTGGACTAGGGCCTAGGGCAAAATGTGCAGAACAGAATGCCTGTAACTTTCGGGGCGCAACTGTGAGCAACGCTTTATATTTATCGTAACCGCGTTCCGAAGTGAGAGATTGTAAGCATGCCTATATGATATCCTATACGCAGGCCTACTTATCGGATGCAGTGCTTCTGTTTTCCGATGTGTTGCCTACACTCCCATGGGCCTTTACTGCAAAGTGTACTGTTATTAGTAAAATCAAAAAGGTCGATGTGAGACCACCTGTGCCACATGTACACCTACTTCATGGTCGATGTCAGCTTTGGCATCACAGTCTGAAAAAAGGTAAGTTCATGCTTAAAGTGTAGACTCTTGATTCTTGAAATCCCCCTGACGGATCAGTCCTATGGCCGGAAAATTTTATGCTGACATGTCCAGGTTTCGCTGTGGTCAATGCTCAAGAAACTGTTATTCATCAGGGGGCCGTTTTCATTGGGCAATCACGAGTTATGCCACGGAATTCTGTGCCGCCTTAATAGCCTTTTTCCACAGCAGTGGACCTTTGCACATTCGAAGTGATTGCAAAACTATGGTTGAGCACATGCAAGCCATGATCCACACAGAGGCGATTGATGTTTCGTGGCCTCTCTCACATTGGTGGAAGACCTTTCACCAAGTTTGGATTGACCGCAAAAGCCTTTGCGCAGAGCCATTGTTTGTCACGTGGGTGCCTGCCCACAAATTGGAGCACATCCCAGAGCACCTCATCGATGATGACATGGCGCGAGCCAATCATTCCACAGTGAGAGACATCGTGCTCAACCGGAAGGCCAATCACAGTGCAAAAACTGCTGCCTTGAACAACTCACTCATTGATCCTGACATGCATCCCAGCCTTTTCAATGCAATCCAAGAGCGTCATGAGTGGTCAGCGCAACTGTCCAGATTGTGTGGCCAAGAAACACATGTTTTCAGTGAAGAGACTGATGATGAGCGTGTTGAAGAGAACCAATCACCCAGAGTGCTTTTTCTCCACCTCCCTTGACACTCCAGCCCTGATGAATTCACTCTTTCATTTGGGCAGCAATGGTCTTCAGCACCAGCTACGGGTTGGCGCACTTCCCCCCAAAACTGGACGAACTTCGGCAAGTTCCTTTCCAGCCGGTCCGAATGGAGGGAGCACCCAGATCTTTACATCTCTTACGGTGAACTGGCTGTAATCTTTGTTGCGATGCTCACTTGTGATGGATTCTCGGACGAGCTCTTCACTTTCCAAGATCTTTCCAAGTGGATCAAGGGTTCCTTCACATCTTGCCGGCGCAAGCTACCGAATGCTTTTTGCTGGAACGCACGAAGGCCATGTTTCCCACACATGGGGCAAATCTATGCCACCTGGAACCATCTGTGGTGGAAGGCCTTTTGTTTCAAACAAGGAGCTTGAGTTTCCGGTACGTGTGACGCGTCGTGTGGCTGGATCGGCTATCTCTGCGTGGTGCTTCGCAGTTCGTGATTTCATGGACTCCTTTGTGAACATGTTCGTTCACCACCCAGTGGAACGCTGGTGGTGCCGCGCGAACTCGTTGGGATCTCGTGAGGCAGAAGAGGTTTTACAATCCAAATGAGGAGGGTAAATCAAGAGTCGACATTTAGCTGCAACGCTGTCGACATCTGTTTGAGTGCTTCGATGTCCCCATCACGTTCTGCCCGGTGCCGGACAGATTGATCTGTGCGTCCGTTCTTCTCTTGTCGATACAATAGAAAGACTCTGAAGAAAACGTCCCAGCCAAACAAGGCATTGTGAACAAGGTGACAAAGCCATATCGGGCCGTCGCACATCAGCATTGCTCCTCGATGCAAGATGTGACGAAGTGGGGGAAGTGCACGATCGTGCTTTGGTGGCTTTCGAGGGGTCAAAGCTACTGCGAGGGTCCACAGGATGTTTGTTTTGGGAGTTTCTGCAACAACGGTCTACCGACGTTCAAGGACCACAAAGCTTGTCCGGCAGCAATCGCAGCATGCGTTTCAAGTCCACATCTTGAAGCACCAGCTTCCCACTGCGTTCACCATTTCTTCAGAACCACCTGTGTTTCGTGAAACGAAAATAATGAAAATGTATATAGATGAAGTTCATGAAACAAAAATGAAGATAAAGTTCCTGCAACGAAGGTGATGTGTTGATGTTGATAATCCAACCGAAAGTCATCATTACCCCGCTACCCCTGCCCGCCCGCCCGCCCGCCATTGCGACCCGTTCCTTCGTTTACAAGTGTCTGGTGTCCGTTGTCAGTGTCTGGTTCTCCCACCTGAAGGCCTCACCTTTGCCATAGTCTCACCCACTTCAGTGGCATTCGCACCCAAGGCCTGTCCGGGATGCTGCGGGCATTTTGACGCGCATGGGACGAGTCTCGCAGCAGATCTGGGAACGGCGACGTGTGCACGTCCTTTTTTGGATGTTTCACGTCCAAGGATCTGAAACTTCACTGGTGACACTAGAAAAAAACATCGAAGTCTTGCAGACTGCGAGGTGACGCCTCAGATAGGCTCGAGAATTCGACAGCCTGGGCGGATCACAGTGCTCACGCCGGCCGTTGTTTCAAGTCATGATTCGTCAAGATTCAAGATGTTTCAAGTATGTACAATGTCACGTGAAACCATGTGATGAGCCCCATGACAATGTGATTCCATGACAAAGAAAACTGATTCATGCTTTGCATGCTTTGCATGCTTTGCATGCTTTGCTGCGAAGCATGCAAACCACGAACCCTCCAGTCCGGCCTTGGTCTTCGCGGTCATGACCTAAGGACCCAACCCCCCCGAGTTCACCGACACGGCCAAACCGCCGTTGGGACTTGGCCTCCGTCGGTTGGACACGGTCGCCTTGCCAGGCCAAAAGTCCTGGCCTCGGGAGAAGTGGGGAGCCGGTGAGACGAGGTCGAGACGAAGTCGGGGAGACGAGTGCTTCAGTACTTCACCGATCTTCGACTCTCCCCTTAGAAAAACTCCAAGTCATGGCCGACCAAGATTCGCCCCTAGCTCTTTCCACTGTATGAGCTAGTCTGAAAGAAGAAAGAGCTAGGGCCTGCTAGGGCATCCACGCACTCTTCTTTAAGACGTAGTTTGGCCTCAAGGAACGTTCACGGGTCGGTCTGAGACCACCGGGTCACTCTACGGCAGACTTCGAAGCAACATTTGCAGGTGAGAGTCGGCATGGACACGTTGAAAACACCCGGCCTCAAGGCGCGGTACAAGCGGTACGAGTACGTATTCTAAGGCAAGAGTGTCCAAATGTCTAGCAACGCTTTCTTGATCCAGGCTCGGCACATTGTGTAAGGAACTAGGCTTGGTCCTTCAAACAGACCGAAGACAGCCTGCGTACGATGAAAGACTGAAATCCATTGGATTGCCCAGCCAAGTGTGGACAAGGCAAATTGATGAGCAATGGCTTCATGTTTTTCCAATCGACAAGATGGAAATGACTGGTTCAATCGGACGCAACCTCTCTTTTTCACACTAGCTCTAGCCCCTATGCGTGTGAAACAAGCAAGAGCTAGATGAAGGCAAACAATCACTGACTCTGGCTGCGATTCTGCAAAAGTCCAAAGCTCTTTGTGCTTTAACTTGCATCTTGTGCTTTCTCAAAACACAACGAATGGCGCCAAATGGAAGAGACTCAGCCAGTCAAAGTAGTGATGCCCTTTGAATCTCCTCATGTTGTTGTTAAAGATATCGTTGCAACACTGCACTGAGCAGTGCGTGCGAAAGCTCTCTCTCTCTCTGTTTTGTATTGTCTTGTAATTTGGAGGAATCTGTTGCATTATCAGGCCTAGGTTTCTCATACTCCAGAGTCTGCCTCCTTTGCAACAGGAAGAATATAGTTCTAGCTGACTTGACTTCTCTGTCGATCATCAAATCCATCATGGTGTCTTGTCGCGCACACAGGTCTTAAGCTGGAGCATGGCAGCACCAGTCATCTGGGCGCAAATTAAAAGTGCTTCGCTATCCAAGCAAGCCGTGCAAGGCCTACTTTCGCAGACCACTATCACTAGTCAAAGATACCAGGCTCCCTAACCCCGGCATCGCCCTTTTCGGTGGGACCCAGTGACTCTCCGCCATGTCTTCTAACCCCCGCCGGGGATCAGGAAACCCAGAGATGTGTAGCAAAGATTTCAACGGGAAAATGGGGGCCAGTCGCGGGTCGTGGCCGTCGCGGTCGCCCGCAAAGATGGTCTTTGCCAGGCCCGATGGTCTAAAACATTGATCAAGGTTGTCGTGTGAACCTTGGACATCTGTCACTCAGTGACTGAGATTTGAAACTGACACGCACACACACATGCCCACAGACAGTGCAGTCATGATGCTCATAGTCTTGGAGCAAGTCCGTAATAACACTGGACCTGAGTGCAAGTACGACAGTCAACGAGATTTGAGTATTCTTACTATGCATTTAACATGTATTTCAACCTAGACTAAGTTTCGCCCATGACCTTGTCCCACAATGCAGCAAAAGTCTGAAGCAATGTTTTACCATCAAACCCACTTGGTCCACACAAACTTCAAACTACGGGACATACCGTAGTATTTGTACTACGTAGCATGTAGCTTGTTTTTTTGGGAGTTTGCGGCAGAAAGGCGGCAACAGGGATAAATTTCCAGGTGAAAGAATATCCCGGTACAGTACGTAGTTCACACATAAGTCAAGTAGAAAGCAAGCCTAGCTTCAAGCTTAGGTGGCAGCATGAGTCACAGCATGTCTCGCTTGAGTATCTTTCTTCGGCGAAAACCAAGGACTGCACCTTTGCTTGGATTGCGCGTACTCCAGAGGAGTTTGGCCTCCCGAATTTTTCTTCACTGGGTCCTGGCGGTGGACGACGAACGGTGAACGCTGCAACAGCAGTTGATCGAAATGCGTGGCGTTCGCGACGGCGTTCGCTCTGCTTGCAACCAGATGTCGGCTTTCAGCTCCAGCAACAGCTTGACCATCTCTGTATTGTTCCTGAAGACCAAAGTGGCTTCGTTGCTAAAATGAGGATAGAATGTACTGCTTCTGGCCAGTAAAACGCCAGGCAGTTGCACTCCAAAATGCCAAGCAGTGATCTAACTGTCTCTAACTGTCTGACGACCAAGGTTCTCTCGGACGGCCGCGTGAAGAGGATAGTACGCCCTGCGACGCATGGATGCACGGTCGGTGGTGCTCAGGCTGTCGGCTTTTGGTTCATTTATAACTCCCACACCCACATGACCATGGTGTTCTAGAACACCAAATTGGGGTTTTTGCTGGTATCATCCAACGTCTATTAATTACTGCTTCACATCTGGAAGAGGAGCAGCCATTTTCCGTGCCCTTTTCGCCTGCCCAAAAACCATCTCTCCGCATTGACGTTGGAAAATCCTCGGAGACCGAGGAATCGGACGCCGTCGCGGCGAGGTTCGCAGCCAAGTCACTGTTCTGCTGAAGCCATGTAAAAACTTTTCTTTGCGCCTGCGAGCTCCAACGGGGATCTGACCAGTTCTGTGTCTATAGGCAATTCAGCCGAGTAGTTTGGTGTGTTCTTGCTACATGTTTGAATATGTTTGTACATGTATATTGATATGTATATCTAGGTATTCAAACTATGCAACATGCTTGCCTTTTGGCTGTTTTGTATGGATGATATGGCGCAAACATTTTGCATAGTTGGAAGATCCAGACATAATGAGTCTATACTCAATACTCGCTTACGCTTCATCTCGAAATGTTCCGCTAAACATGCAGGCACGTACTTGGATAAACCAATTTTTCAGAAACCAATCCACACCATGTCACACGATTTCAAGGCCTTATTTCTTGCAACAATCTCGTCCATCTCCTGTCCTCAGTACTGAGCCATCAAATGTCTGGCGACCTATGAACTAAGCCGACGAAGGTTGTCTGCTCTGCATGTCTTTTGAAACTAAAGATCTCTGCCTCAACTGTAAAAAACAAATCAAAAGCTGTTCAGGGCCTTATTGGTATAGAATATATAAGTAGGTATATAGGTGACGATCAGTTTATCAGTTTGTTATGCGTTTTCATTTTTACGTTGTTTGCCACAGAAGTTGTCGTTCTGTGCCGAAGCTCTCTTCAGTTTCCGCTGACCAGCACCAAAGCGTACACTGGCGGGTGTAGCGCTGCCAGGTGGTGCAGTTTGAACCTCAAAAAGAAAGACGGGCGGTCCGGAGGACCTTTTCCAACATGAGTGTGGCTTGATGTTGAATCCTAATTAGTGTATATAATGGGTCGGAATAATAAACGTGTGTTCACCCTGTGTTTTCTTTTTTGTATTTTTCTCACCCTTTAACATCCTTACTTACCTCTTCTGAGGTTTGCTTGATTCATGGATTCATGGAATTCTAACCTGGAAATCGTTTTCAAAAAACCTTATTGAAACTCAACTATGTCATTGCTCCAAACAATTTTTCAAGGGGATGGTACACAAGCCCACATTAATTGCATAGTATGAATTGTTTAGGGGTGGGATTAATAAGCAAACTTGGAGCCCTACGGGAAAAAATCTAATTTATTAACTGATTATTGTTCTGCTTTGGCTGCCCTTTCAAATCCTTACTTATCTCTTCTACTACTACGACTACGACTACTACTGCCACTACTACTACTACTACTACTACTACTACCACTACCACTACCACTACCACTACTACTACTACCACTACTACCACTACTACCACTACTACCACTACTACCACTACTACCACTACTAC